ACCACCTTCTACATGTCATACCTTAGACCTGATACGTTTCGCACAGGTTTTTTTTCTGATGAAAGTAACATGGTGTTGTCATGGAAACATCTCATTAAAAATCTTTATACTGGTTGTAACACACTGGTCTTTTATCTGATGAAAATGTATTGAGCTGAAAGAGTTCTTTTAAATTAAACATTTAGATTATTTTTTTGTATATTGTTCCTCACTTAGGACATGAGATAATTATACCCTCTCTGAGTAAAATTTAAGGTGTGGAAATTTTTGTTTTTATGTAGATTATCATTGGTGGCAACAAGTCCGTGCTTACTCTGTCCAAACCGCACAAAGATGCTGAGTAAAAAAGTTGTGTATGTTTATAGGACATAGCAGGATCTTTCATTAGCTTTTTGAAAATGCATGTTGGTAGCTTAAACTGAGAGCTTAAGCACATGCTTCTTAATCACATTGTATAGATTTTGTCAACGTTTGCAAATGAATATATGTTTACTTTTGGATGTAGGTCACTATCTGATATACATGTATTTCTGCTGTGCTGAATTCTAATTGGCTAAATCTCTATCACATTTTATTGTTGCCTTGCTCTTTTCTACAAAGGATTTTAGTTTTTAAGCAAGTGAAATGAAAAAAATAATTAGCAATAAGAATATTTTTATTTAAGGAAAGTAGAATAAAAGAGAATGTGGTTGTGGTTAAAGGGCAATGTGTTGGGATTTCCTCTGTTGAATTTTTGTTATCTCTGTAATATATATGTTCTTGTTGGGACTGTTAAAGATTATTAATTACTTGTAATAACAACATAAGTGTTTCAGTTTCCTTATTTCCTGTCCATTTTCCTCCTTCATTACAAATTTTTCCAGGTCCATTTGATGGTCCATGAAACATATTTCACTCCCCCTAGCCCACTCCAAATCTATTGTCTGCTCTTTATTTAAATATATACCCCCTCTCACTCTCTAGGAGTTATAATTTGCTCTTTTCATGAAATACAATTCTGCTTCACCCACAGGAACTGCTGTATTTTTTTTTTTTTTTTTTTTTTTTATAAAATATGTTTCCCCCCTCCTACCCCCTGGGATTTATAATCTGCTTACCTACCCTGAGGATTTATAATCTGCTCCCTAACCCCCTGGGATTTATAGTCTGCTCGCCACCACCTGGGATTTATAGTCTGCTCCCCAACCCCTTGGGATTTATTGTCTGCTCCCCCAACCCCTGGGATTTATAGTCTGCTCCCCACCACCTGGGATTTATAGTCTGCTCCCCACCACCTGGGATTTATAGTCTTCTCCCCAACCCCCTGGGATTTATAATCTGCTCCCCACCCCCTGGATTTATAGTCTGCTCCTCCAACCCCTGGGATTTATAATCTGCTCCCCCACTCCTTGGGGTCTACTGTTTATTTTTTTGTCAGCACTTTCCTATGGTTCTGTGAAGTTCATACAAGTACATATCTTTATCAAAACCAGATGTTTAATTACTTATGATATGAACTCAATATGTATAAAAAAAACCATGGATGTTTGATATAAGTGATTGTCTATACTGGTAATCTGATGGGCACTGATTTATGTGAAATATCAATTTTTCTTTTGGAAATTAAACATCATGTTCAAATGTTAAGTACAGGACAAATGGACCAGGATGTAGAGTTGGAGAGTGAACAGATCTGCCATGAAACTGCTTGTATTAATATTTCTGTTTGAAGTAGCTACTAACTTTAGCTTAAAAGCATTTAGTCAAGTAGATGTTTGTCAGCATTTGTAACAAAAAATTCCCTATAAAAATGTAAAGTTGAATTCATAAGGCAGATTCATAATACCATGTATAATTAGGACATATGTAAGGTCCTAAAAATAGCAATATACCAATGGTAGGTACATACTAAGGAATTACTGATCCAGACTTTGACAGTTTTGAGGAATTAAACATTTTGTTCAATTAATTCCTTAATATAACATCATAAATATCTACATATCACATAAATATAATTGAAATATATAATATAAAGCCTAACTGTCCCCAAATTTTATATGTTTTGTTAATTAAAAGATAATTGTCCATTTTGCTATCAAATCTGGTCTCTTTTTCTGTCAAAATTGCCATCAAAACCCATGTTGTTCCTTCATTTTTCAGTTTTTTTTATTGATAATTATCTATTTTTCCAATTTATTTTGATAACTTTAAATATTAAAATAAACAAACAAAAAGTAGGACTCACCAAACTTGTTTTGAAGTTATGATAGATAATACTGCTGGTAGTGTTATGAAATGGCATTGTAGTTTACCTACAGTCCAGAGGATTCCAGGTAACTACATTCGGAAGGCCTGGTACCTCTACATTACCTATGTTCAGCTCTTGGGTATGGTACAACTTCAGAGTAAAACGGACATTTTTACCTGTCAGTGTGTCAGTCTTACAGTATTGTAATATAATAATGACTAGTCACTCATTTATGCCACCCAATTTTACAATAGTACACATTATTTTTGCTTAAAAAAGTACAAACATGGACTAATCTCATGCCGTTTTATCAACGTTTCGTTACCAATACTTCCATCTGTTTCACAACTTTTATAAAGAATAAATATGTTATTAAAGTAAAACAAAAAAAATGCTGCTTATCTTTTTTCAGTTATGACTGTTTACGTTCTGCATAATTGCTGATAATTATGACCGTACTAGAAGTGGCACTGTCAACAACAGTATCCATGTTTATACCGCTGCTGAGTGGCCATCTTGTGTTTCTACATTTATTTTATATACCGATCTTATATTAGATTTGTTTTGTTTTCAAAATTTCAAAATCTTAACCCAAGGCTTTGTCTTGTGATCAACAAACACATTCCAAAACGCCAAGATGCAATATTAAGTCCAAAACCAGATACAGACAGCATGTTACATGAAAACAAACAGGTGACCGGGCTCTGGAAGGAGTGAGTCACAGAGGGGTTGATCACCCTGAAGTGAATTTTTTTCACTGAACCAATTTAAATATCTTCAAGTAAACACATCGCTGGAACCACTCATGGACACTGTGAAATTTAGGAAATAATCAACGCCTTTGTATGTATTTTTATAGAATAAGTGAAAAGGCAATGACTTTGACTTCAGGTGCATGAAGTTGCTTTCCCATCTGTTTCTTAAACCTTATTCACATTTTGTATAAACTTTGATATATGAAAATACCAAAGAAAATTTTACTGATTAAAGTGGTGCTGAACAATAAATTAACTGATGTTACATAAAATCCTGGGAATTTTTCTTCAAAACTGATTATGAGCTTTTGAACAATCATTTGTTCTCACTCATACAAAGTAAATTAATTGCAATGATTAACACATACAAAAAATGAAAGCAAATCTACAAGGGTAATGAGATCCAGGATGAGTGAGTGCTCATACTCCAAGGGAGATAACTCAATCTGGTTTGTTATGAGTGTAACAGTACATGGTATAACATTGGCAACACAAAACATGACTTTATATAACAGATGTACCATACCAGTGAGCTCTTGTTCTGAATACTGAAATGATGCTCTGTCATAATCTTATCGTTAACATATTAATTATAGCAAGTCTAGGTACATGTATATGTCTTCCAATGTTTATATATATATATATATACAGTACTATATATACATATGAGATAAAGCAATATGAGGTTTTCTATTCAATTGAATATATTACAGAATATATGCAGATATTTGATTCTTGAACATGCAACAAGGAAATCTCACATGCTGTCTGCTCTGATTTGTCTGGTACATTTATATATTATTTGGCACCAAATGATGCCATTTTTCTGAGGTACTATATTATTTGGCACCAAATGATGCCATTTTTCTGAGGTACAACCACAAAACAAGTCTATTCAAATCAAAGAATTTGGAAGTGAAACTGGCTGAACAAATTTTTTTTACAAATTCGAAACCATAACCTGTGATTTTGTAACAGAATGTCAGCCCTTGACAGAGATTGATCAGTCTTGAACACTTAAGGTAACCGATTCTATTATGGAATAGTAACGTAGTCAAAACTACTGTATATTAGAAGTTGTAGACGAATACTTAGATAACATCATATAATTGCAAACTCTACATTTTTTGTCATTCTTGTAAAGTAATATATTTTCGAGGTGCTCAATTTCATGGTTTTCCAAAAAATGATAATTGATCAGACTACTAAGGGTACTTATATGGTTAATTCCTTGATATGTAAACAAACAAATTGACCTCCTTCCTTCCCCACACACCCCTCACTAACCCACCCTCACTTACACACCCTCCCTAACACACCTTCCCTAACACACCTTCACAGACACACACTTTTGCAGCTGAGGCAAACTGACTGTTAATACACTCTCATATTATCTATGCATTGCACAAACCTTTAATTTGCGTAATTAAGTTTTGTAATTATTATATATATATATATATATATATATTTATATATCATATAAGTTCATGAAAAATACTATAGAACTCAGAAATGATGATTACAACATAAGTACATATGTTGTTTTTAGATCGAACTAAGTAGGAATTAATAATTTTGATAATTGTCATATTCCTTAGTTATTGATATATAACGTGTCCTTGTAAAATATGTTTAAGAAAAATTAACGCAATTTATGTTCATCTTTAGTAATCAGTTCAAATTTCTCTTACGACCTATTTTCACATACCTTTATATAACTTAATTACAAACTTGTGATTTTTTGTTTCTAGTCTAGATATTTTCTTATTGTGTTTCATTCAGTCAGAAACAAAAATTAAAAAGAAATATTTTGAATTTTATTGATGAATTTGTATCTTGATGTTAATTTCTAACTTGCATGTATAATACCTTCCTGTTTATAAGAAATTTGACTTTCTAACCTATTAACAGATATTAATGATTTAAATTGATGTTAATTTGTGTGTAAAATACCTTCCTGTTTGTCAGAAATTTGACTTTCCAACCTATTAACAGATGTTAATGTTTTTATCTTACAGATAAAAGGCAGTGCCACAGGTAAGATTTTTATATTTATTGAAAAACATAGATATATCACAGTTAACATAAACAGGGGATATTTATGTATAGCAAGTGTGACATCATATGCATAGTAGACATAGAGAACAGGTGTTAACATCACAGATCAATAGCATATCAGCTGACACAGCATTGAAAGATGATATCGCAGGTTACACTAAAAAGGATGAAATATCAGATTACAACATCAAAGATACCTGTCAACAGGGTGACACATCAGAGAAATCTGACAACTGACTGACACATCAGAGAAATCTGACAACTGGCTGATACATCAGAGAATCCTGACAACTGGCTGATACATCAGAGAAATCTGACAACTGACTGATACATCAGAGAAATCTGACAACTGGCTGATACATCAGAGAAATCTGACAACATGTGTCACATTCAAGTTACCTGACAACAGACTGATGTATCAAAGAAACTTGACAACAGGTTGACGCAATAAAGATATCTGACATCAGGTGACACATTAAAAATACCTGACAACAAACTGATGCATGAATGAAACCTGACAACAAACTGATGCATGAATGAAACCTGACAAAAAACTGATGCATGAATGAAACTTGACAACAAACTGATGCATGAATGAAACCTGACAACTGGTTGACTTATTTAAGAAACCTGAAAAAAAAAACTGATACTTCAGAGAAATCTGACAACTGGTTGAAATATCAAATAAACCTGACAACACCTGACACATGAAAGTAACCCGACAACAGATGGTGTAGCATGTAAATTACATATGACATATATGAGATATGGTGATACATCTAGGTAATACTTGTATATATCATGACAGTGGTCACACAGACCAATGATGGAAGGTTAATTTCTCAATATGTTTTAACAAAGGTAATTTAGGATACCATATCGTTCATATGTTTATTTACATTTTCATATTTCTGTCTGGTTTTGCCAGTCTTGTCCTAATTTATCTATGTCATTATGTAGGCTGGTTACCAATAGCATTCTTTGTGGTGTTGTTGTCACTATCCTGGTACTATCTTTGAGGACTTGACATTGTTTTGTATTAACCTAAATTTTCACTTCTGTTTTAGAACTTGTAGTTTTAATCTTTTTTTTAATTTTACAAGTGTCTTTTAGATATTCTAAAATTTATTGTTAAAGTGCCAACTTTGACTTAAGAAATCTTGTATACCTAAGTGTTCTTTGATTGTGGTGTCAATTTAAAAACAAAACTAATTATTAGTCACTTGTAAAAGTGTCTAGAATTTTAAGTGCTGTTTTTTTATATTTTACAGACCATCAGTACACAGATACTAGTTCTATCAAAGGTGAGTCATTATGACCAGTACATCTTATCTAATGACAATTTACTTCCTGGTAGAAATGCTATGATACTGTAAGTGATGATTTTGTTGTATTTCATTGCAGCATTATTCACTTTTCTATAGCTCTTCAGATTATCTAATTCAATGTCCGTCACAATAGTGTAATTTGTTAAATGCAGGGACCTGTCTTTATCTGATAGTGGTTCATGGCACAGTTTTGACATAATTTACAAACTGTATATATATTTTTGAGGGTTTGCCATGGGACATAACTCTCAGTAAACTCTGGGTGGTTGGATTTGTTTGGAGGGTTTATCACCCATGCAACAGCCAGGATCATATGAGGGTAGAACCTCCTAGTAGTAACTCATGACTTCCTCAACAATCAAAGTAAGGGAGACACATGCTATCCAGACCAACTGAGATAAAGTGTCTTGTCCATAGATGCAATCAAGACAACACAAACTGGTCAGTTAAAAAAAACTTCATGAGAAACACAGATCACAATGGATCGGGAGCATTGAACCACACACCTCGGATCTTCATGTGAGGTTGTGTGGGTCAGTGCTTTGCAAGTGATTGGAAATCGTAACAATCAAAAGGGAGTTTCATTAACCAATGTAAGTTTCTAACATGGTATTACTGTGAACATATGTGTATGTTTGCATTCTTGTTTGGACTCATTCTTGGTTAATTTCAGAAGTGTTTTTGTTGTGTTTATTTTTCATTATAATTTCAATAGATAGCAATAGCCTTTGTTTTTGAAGATAGAGTATAACATTTTAATATTTGAATTTTTTTTTCAGGATTCCATGAAAGAATAGGACAGAAACCAATGGGGAAAAGAGAAGAACCTTCACGTTGGAAGAAAATATTTAAAAAACAATAGAAATAATGTTAGTATTTCTTTGTATGATATTAAAAAGTCTTTCAAATCCACAAGTTATTTTATTATACCATGACGGATGACATTTGTAAAATAATTATATATTTATATATATGTTTGTGAATTATTTAACCAAATATACCTTGCTTTGCCTACATTGATATATTTTAGATTAAAAGGAAAAGGTAAAAAAAAGCAGTGTATTTTACATGTTCATTTTCATATTTATTATTGTTGTTTATCTGTTTATAAAACATACAACATACTACAGTAATATTAGTAAAAGTGCCCCTAATTCATTGATATCATACACACAACATACAGCAGTAATATCACTTAAGACATTTCCAGGTTTTTCTGACAATGAGGTCAGCATTTGTTCCTCATCTATACCAGAAAAAAAACCAGTCAGAATGCAGGACTATATATGGATCCACACAATGGAGAACTTTGTATAAAGTAATCGTCTGTCGTTCCATAAACTGATATGTTGCGTTACTTCTAAAATATAAACAACAAACATATATAGGGTATATTTTATGTAGGATAAACAAATAATATGTGAATGCAGTGTTTGTGTTAATACATATTATAAAAGTGTTAATTGACTTTAAATTTTGTGCAGACATTTGTGCTAAAGCATGTATTCTTGGCTGTATTGTTTTATTGAATATTAATGTACATTGAAATTGATATACAGAGTGGCATATATAATTGATAAAGACTCTGGTATGGCTTGGGGACAGAATCCAATGCCAGTTTCGCAGGAGAGAACACTTAACTAATGGCCAAATGTGAGACTGTGTCCAGGAAACAACTAGGATGAATACAGATCTTTAGAAGAGAGAAAATATTAAGATTTCAAGTTAAGTTGCCAAGTGCTATCATTTCATGGTACAATTTTACACCTACCCACAGAACAAAGTTTGTGATTCACATGTAGATACTTTCAATATCTTGTTTTTTGTGAAGAGAATGTTGGTATTGTATGATTAATTACTCTTTAATCATTATATTTTCATTGGGCCTTGGTGTGTAGGATGTGATGAGCCATTCATCGTTAAACGTTTTTTATTGGACTGCATTGACCTTCTGTCTACTAGAGAATGTTTTTATCGTAACATTACATGTCTAAAATCCCTTTTTGAAACAGTTGAGATTTGTAAAATTCTACATTACCTGAAAGATGTTGGTCTATATAATATACTATGACATATCATTTTAATCTTTTGTGTTAACATATTCATTTAAGATTTTTAACAATTGTCTTTTACCTTTTGGTTTGTTTAATGTTATTTCCTTTTGGATCGCTGTGTTTTACTGTTTGATGGCCCGAATGACCTTTTATGTGTTGACGGGCCGTGAAGAATGTAACAAAAAAAAGCAATAACGATTTTCATTGGGTCCAATTTTCGTGTTTTTTTAAAAACAGTATTTCATGGTGCTTAATTTAGGAGATAAATATGTCTGAGAAAATCAAAACAAAGTTTGAGAAAGCAAAAATTAAGATGGCACCTGTCAGCATAAGTTCCCTGGTTTTTTATATCACGCTTTAAAAATACATTCTAATTCTACACAGATTAACATATAATGTGTATGATGATTCTTAAATATAGGTCCCATATTATGTTTACCAAATGGACATAGTGTGTTAGATATTTTAGTATCTTCTGTGAGATATGCTGTGAATTGTATGTACCACTACGTCTATATAACAGCAGGGCTGTGTTTCAGTGTATTACATCTTCCTTATTCTTCACCACATTTTTCATAAAAAAATCAGTTTTGAGTATCTTTTGACTTCAAAAAGAAAATGTTTGAATTGAGTATATGTGCTATATGGATCCCTAGGTTTTTTCTGCTTTCTTGTATTATTTTCCCTTAAAGTGTATACAGGGTATACAGTAAAGAATGTGTATGATATTGTTATCTTGTTAAACATTCCTCAATTACAGCAGCTTTACTGGTATAGTTTTACATTAATATATGCAATATTAGCTTTACAAAATATTAAAACTATATTAAAGGTAAACTATGTTTTTATTTGTCTAAATGCTAAATGCTTACAAACTAACATAAAATAGTTTTCACATTCAATAGTGAAAATAATGTTACCATGTTACAAGCATTCCTCAATATTTTGCTTTTTTGGTGTCCAATGCAAAAAAGGCATGAATGATATTTATGTTTTACATAAAAGATATGATGTATTCAAATTGTACGATTATAAATCTTATTCTTATTCATTCAAGATGTAACTCAACATTTGATTCGACATTAAAAATAATTTGTGACAGTATAACCAAAGTATGACATTATTTTTAATGTAGCGGAAGAGAGTGTTTGTCTTTATAGTTGTGTAGATTGTCCTTCCATATTGTACTGGTCTCAACTCAGATGATAAAAAAGAAAACCAATGAATAAGTCCAATAATAAAGTTTATCTGAGAACAACTCTAATGATAAAGTTTATCTAAGAACAACTTTAATGATAAAGTTTATCTAAGAACAACTCCAATGATAAAGTTTATCTAAGTACAACTAATGATAAAGTTTATCTAAGAACAACTCCAATGATAAAGTTTATCTAAGTACAACTAATGATAAAGTTTATCTAAGAACAACTCCAATGATAAAGTTTATCTGAGAACAACTCCAATGATAAAGTTTATCTAAGTACAACTAACGATAAAGTTTATCTAAGAACAACTCCAATGATAAAGTTTATCTAAGAACAACTTTAATGATAAAGTTTATCTAAGAACAACTCCAATGATAAAGTTTATCTAAGAACAACTTTAATGATAAAGTTTATATAACAACAAATTTAATGATAAAGTTTATCTAAGAACAACTAATGATAAAGTTTATATAACAACAAATTTAATGATAAAGTTTATCTAAGAACAACTAATGATAAAGTTTATATAACAACAAATTTAATGATAAAGTTTATCTAAGAACAACTAATGATAAAGTTTATCTAAGATTAACTTCAATGATAAAGTTTATCTAACAACTAATGATAAAGTTTATCTAAGAACAACTTTAATGATAAAGTTTATATAACAACAAATTTAATGATAAAGTTTATCTAAGAACAACTAATGATAAAGTTTATATAACAACAAATTTAATGATAAAGTTTATCTAAGAACAACTAATGATAAAGTTTATCTAAGAACAACTTCAATGATAAAGTTTATCTAACAACTAATGATAAAGTTTATCTAAGAACAACTTCAATGATAAAGTTTATCTAACAACTAATGATAAAGTTTATCTAAGAACAATTCCAATGATAAAGTTTATCTAAGTACAACTAATGATAAAGTTTATCTAAGAACAACGCCAATGATAAAGTTTATCTAAGAACAACTCCAATGATAAAGTTTATCTAAGAACAACTTTAATGATAAAGTTTATCTAAGTACAACTAATGATAACATTTATTTAAGTACAAATTTAATGATAAAATTTATCTAAGAATAGGTCTAATGATAAAGTTTACATAAGTACAACAATAATGAGAAAAATTACCTAAGTACAGCTCTGATGATAAAGTTTACTGATGTGCTTGATGTATTGTCAATTCCTTATCAAGACATGAAGTTTGACCTAGTTGAAGCCTCTCGACTTGTGTGTAGATCTTAAAGGAAACTTCTACGCATAGTTTGTGTAGTCATTTGATTAAACCGTATATGCTGATTAAACAGGATGCTGATGTTGAGCCAGTAGCATGCTGGGATGAAGGTCTATTGTATTTGTTCAAATGAATGACCTTGACCTTTATTCAAGGTCATAGGAGTCAAATACGCTAAACTACATCAACAGAGAGTTTTATCAGGTCCGTTTGAAAATGAAACCTTCAAACTTAGAACAAAATAAAATCTAGTATGCATATATCAGTTCTGTTCTGCCTGCCCAAATGCTGGGACTTATGGACAAGTTCTAAAACTGTCCAAAGACCTTAAGATCTCAAGGTAACCGTTAAGGCCTCTGGGCCGCTTGTCACTAGTGAATGTATATCCTATAGTTGTTTTTTGAACTGTGAAAATAGAAAAGATTGCTTTATTTTGAAATATTTGAAAATGAATCCCAACCTGTGTAAAAACTAAACTTTGCTAAGATGATTTCTGTCAATACTTTAGGTCATTCTGTTCTACATGTAGTGATTTAAATATATTGTGTATACATATAATGAGTATATCTAAAACCAGGGAATAATATAAAAAGCATTATATATTTGTAATAAAATATATATTGAAAATAAACATGTTTACTGTGTTATAGTTTCATGTGTGCATTGTGATAAAAAGTGTGCCATATGTAGCATTTGTCTATTCTGTCTCACGAATGTTTCATCACATATGTCAATAAACATGTTTACTGTGTTATAGTGAAATGAACAACGACATATCATTAGAGAAATCGGGTTTGTTGATAACATTTGATGCTTTTTCTGGTATCAGGATTTGAATGAACACAGATATACAATCAGTCTGCTAATATTACGTAAATCAACATGGGATGGGAAAATGTTACTGGATAAATAGTGTGATTGTAATTTCATATTAAAAAGTAATTTATATATATTTCAAATTTTTTAGCATTACAATTTACCTTGACCTTCACAAAAAGAGATTCTCAGGATCAGAACAAGAGTCTACAGATGATTTTTTTAATTGAATGATGCTACAATGTGTAGGGTTTGTGAGATGTTGACAGTGACTATGTGATTCCAGGTGTAATGGTATACCATTATTCTGTTTCTGACGAGATTCCAGGTGTAATGGTATACCATTATTCTGTTTCTGATGAGATTCCAGGTGTAATGGTATACCATTATTCTGTTTCTGATGAGATTCCAGGTGTAATGGTATACCATGTTAAGGGTCAAATGTTTTCGTCATCGTATTAAAAAATATAGGCAATTTTCCAGGGATGTTGAAGATACTAATTTTAATGTTGTAAAATCAAAGTCGTTCTTTACACCTGTATTGCTTTTTTGTGAAATTTATTCCTTCCAATGTCTCAATGATATTTAACATTTCATTTGAAAAATAAAACATCGCTAATCCCAAGTACAGGTACCGGCCACGATATATTTCCAGTCATATTATCGTTATAGAAACTGTTTACAAGGCAATGTCTAGAAATATAAAAACGAGAACTATGACCGGTAAAGCGTTCCTC